CGTCGCTAGCTTCTCAGCACTTCACTCCTGGGCTCAAGCGATCCTCCTGCCTCAGCCTCCCGAGTAGCTGGGACAACAGGCATGCGCCACCATGCCCAGCTAATTTTTTCTCTATATATATTAGTTGGCCAATTAATTTCTTTCTATTTATAGTAGAGGACAGGGGTCTCGCTCTTGTCAGGCTGGTTTCGAACTCCTGACCTCGAGCAATCCGCCCGCCTCGGCCTCCCAGATCCCTGTCTCTGTTTCTACAGGAGTAACTCTGTGTCTCTCTGAGCGTCCTCCCCTCGCTCTTTCAGTGTCTCCGGGTCACAGCGTCCCCGCGGCGCGCGCTGCTTCACCCGGGTCTTCCGCTCGAGCCATCCCACCACCTCCCTCCGGCCCCCTTCCCTCCCCCCTCCCGGCTCCGCCCCGCCCCGCCCCGCCCCGCGCCCGCGGCCCCTTTAAGGCAGGCCCGGCCGCTGCCGCCTCCCGGGCGGCGGAGGGCGCGATGGCCGGGTCCGCGCCGGGGGTGGTCTGGCGGCGGCTGAGCCGGCGCGCCGGGACCGCGGCGCCCGTCCTCCTGCGGCAGGTGCGGGGTGGCAGGGCCGGGGGGACGGGACTGAGTCCTGTGATCGGGTGAGATTGGGAGCCACACGCCTGGCCCTTGCGGAGCGCGCGTGGGAGCCGGGGCCGGGCCCCCGGTCCTTTAACTGCGAGTCGCCGGGGGCCCTGGGCTTGGCCCGGCTCCTGGTCCCTTCCGAAAGGATGTTCTGCGGGCCCTGGCTTTGGGGTGTTAGGAAGGTGCCGCTCCTGGGCGTGGGGCTCCCGATTCCTGGCTGCAGGCGAGAGCGGGGCCTGGGGGTTCCGCTTCTGGATCCTGCGAAGAGGACCGAGCCGAGGCCTGGACTCCGCGCTGCCCAGGGGTCGGGACCTGGTCCGCGCTCTCACCTGTGCCCCGTCCCCCGACAGATGTTTGAGCCCAAAAGCTGCACCTACACTTACCTGCTGGGCGACAGGGAGTCCCGGGAGGCCCTTCTGATCGACCCGGTCCTGGAGACAGCGGCCCGGGATGCCCGGCTGGTCAAGGAGCTGGGGCTGCGGCTGCTGTACGCCGGTCAGTCTGGGGACCCGGGGGGGCGGGCCGCCGCGTACGTGCAGTGGGCAGCCGGGGGCCTGGACCCCTGGGCCTGAGCGAGAAGGGGTCTGGGCACGGGGACCCCGGATGCTGTCCACACCCTGCTGGACCTGTCCCTCCTCTCTCCCCCAGTGAACACCCACTGCCACGCAGACCACATTACTGGCTCAGGGCTGCTCCGCTCCCTGCTCCCCGGCTGCCAGTCTGTCATCTCCCGCCTTAGTGGGGCCCAGGCGGACTTGCACCTTGAGGATGGAGACTCCATCCGCTTCGGGCGCTTCGTGAGTTGGATGCTGGGTCCCCAAGAGGGTGGTGGCCTGGACTCCCTGAACTTAATGGAAGAGGGGACTAGGGGCCTGAGATCCTGGCTTCTGGGGGAGGGGAGACCTCAGGCCCTGGGCTTCCTGACCCCTGGGCTCATGCTTCTGGGAGGAGGGCACCATAAACTCAGGTGGGGCGCTGGGACAGGAGGTTCTGGGAGGTGTGTCTCTGGCAGAACCCCTTAAGTCAACAGCATTTATGGAGATTCCTAAGGCTTTGGGGCAGCTCCTTTGGCCTGGCATCTCCATAAAAGTTGATTGAGGGCTGGAATTCTGAGGCTGATTCTGAGCACGAGACCCAGTCCTGTCCTCTGAGAACCACTGTTTGAGGAAGGAGCATCCTGTTGCCCAAGGTCAAGATTAGGGTGAGGTGAGTGGGGTCACTAGCGTGCAAGATTTAAGGAAGCACTAACACATAGGGATATGTAAATACAGCCTCAGAACCTGCAAGTGAGCGCCTCCTTAAATCTCGCGCTGAGTCCCAGCCCTGTGGTTTCCCAGCCCTGTGGTTTCCTCACTTAGGAATGGTCAAAGGTTCCTGCTTCCTTCTCTTTACTGCTGGTGCCTGCAGGGGCTGGTTTCTGGCCGGAATTGCAACTGGGGCAATATGGTAGAGGGTCAAGGGAGTTGCCCACAGAGGGAGGGAAAATGCTGGTGGGGCTTTTTTTCTGCTCAGAGTTGCTAAAGAGTTTGGCTGACTTTGGGGACAAAATATCAGGTGAGGCCTCCAGGTTAGAGGGTTTTGCTAAATAGGGAGAGTTTGAGTCAGAGCATTTAGTGGAAATGTGGATGACAGGGTTTAGCTACAATGGCTACAGAGTCTTTATTTTACAATAAAGGGCTTAGCTACAAAGGCTACGGAGTCTTTTTCTGGAAGCAGGTAAAACAGGCATTGTACATTTATGTACAGTGTACATAATTGGTGCTAACAAGCATTTCTTGGATTTGAGAGTGATGTTTTTTTTTTTTTTTTTTTTTTTTTTTTTTTTTTTTTTTTTGAGACAGAGTCTCGCTTTTGTTGCCCAGGCTAGAGTGAGTGCCGTGGCGTCAGCCTAGCTCACAGCAACCTCAAACTCCTGGGCTCAAGCAATCCTCCTGCCTCAGCCTCCTGAGTAGCTGGGACTACAGGCACGCGCCACCATGCCCGGCTAATTTTATATATATATATTAGTTGGCCAATTAATTTCTTTCTATTTTTATAGTAGAGACAGGGTCTCGCTCAGGCTGGTTTTGAACTCCTAACCTTGAGCAATCCGCCTGCCTCGGCCTCCCAGAGTGCTAGGATTACAAGCGTGAGCCACCACGCCCGGCCGAGAGTGATGTTTTTAATGAATGAATGTTGTAGGGTTTAGCTGTGGTAGATTTAGTTTCAGTTTTTTTTTTTTTTTCTGTAATAGATATATTGATATAATCCACATGCCATACAATTCACCTATTTAAAGTGTACAATTAGGCTGGGTGCAATGGCTCATGTCTATAATCCCAGCACTCTGGGAGGCCAAAGTGGGAGGATCATTTGAGAGACCAGGAGTTCGAGGCCAGCCTAAGCAACACAGTGAGACCCTAGTTGTACAAAAAATAAAATTAATTGGGCATAGTGGTGTGTGCTTGTAGCCCTTAGCTACTTGGGTGGCTAAGACAGGAAGATTCCTTGAGTCCAGGAATTCCAGGTTACACTAGGCTGCCACTGCACTCTAGACTGGGTGACACAGTGAGACCCTGTCTCTAAAAAAATAAATAAATAAAAGAATAAAAAGTTAAAAGACCCAAATTTTCTCTACCAGCCATAGTTTGTCGACCCCCTTGTGTAGAGTGTTTCATTGTGTGAATATACCATAATTTTATTTTTAATTTTTTTATTTCAGCATATTACACAGGTACAAATATTTAGGTTACATGTATTGTCCTTGCTCCACCCGAGTCAGAGCTTCAAGCGTGTCCATCCCCCAGACAGTGTACACCGCACCCATTAGGCGTGTATATACCCATCCCCTCCTTCCACCTCCCTTTTGCCCGACGCGTGATGAATGTTATTACTATTGAATATACCATAATTTACATATCCATCCTCCTTTGGATGATTGTTTCTGGTTTGGGGTTACTATGAATAATGGTTGGCTGGGCACGGTGGCTCACGCCTGTAATCCTAGCACTCTGGGAGACCGAGGCAGGTGGATTGCTCGAGGTCAGGAGTTCGAAACCAGCCTGAGCAAGAGCAAGACCCCGTCTCTACTATAAATAGAAAGAAATTAAATGTGGCTAACTAATATATATAGCAGAAAATTAGCGGGCATGGTCGTGTTGCTGCTGTAGTCCCAGCTACTGGGTGTCAGGCTGAGGCAGGAGGATCGCTTGAGCCCAGGAGTTTGAAGTTGCTGTGAGCTAGGCTGACACCACAGCACTCACTCTAGCCTGGGCAACACAGTGAGACTCTGTCTCAAAAGAAAAAAAAAAAAAGGATAATGTTGCTATGAAGATTCTTGTGCAAATTCAGGGAGTGGACTTGCTGGGTCATAGTGTTGACAGATGTTTATGTGTTTATTTAACATTAGTAGAAACTGTCAAACAGATTTTTGAACTGCTTGTACATTTTATACTCAAGGTGGGCAGAATTTCATTGTAGACTTCACTGTAGAATGAATTTTCTTTTTAAATAAGCAGTGATTGAGAATTGAATATTTTAGCTCCCATGGGGGTGGGGGCGGCAGATTCAGAAAATTAGATTTGCCTGTTAAATATGTTGATTTAGAGAGGTGCTGCTCAAAATACTGATTCCCCAGGTCCCACTTTAGAGATTCTAATTTAATCATTCACAATGGACACCAGGAGTCAGCACGTTTTAAAAGCTCCTCAGGTGATCCTTACTCGGCCCATGTGTGGGTTTCAGTGCTTCCTTCTACTTGGAATTAAATATTTAAATTGTGGAACAAGTCATTCCCCCCCCAACATTTTACAATGAAAAATTTCAAGCGTAGAGAAAAGCTGAAAAAAAATTTTATAATATACACCTCTCTCCATCCCATGCCATCTTATTTTTTTGATGTATCTCCAAATTGCACCTATCAGTTAGTTCGCTGTCCTCTAAACAGAACAAATAATTTTAATTTTTTGTTTGTTCCCAAAATAAAGGAGGTGGTTTAGCTGATGGTGGTTCAGAGTATTGAGCTATAAGGGAAAAGGACTTTTTTGGGTTTGGGGTTAGAGGACATAGGAACAGTGGATGGTTTAAGTACAGCAGTCCCTACTTCTCTGTGGGTTCCCTTTCCTCGGTCTCAGTTACCCTCAATCAAACTAGGTCTGAAAATATTAAACAGAAAATTCCAGAAATAAACAGTTCATACATTTTAAATTGCGTGCCGTTCTGAGTAGCGTGATGAACTCTCGGAGTCCTGCTTTGGCCTGCCCAGAAAGTGAGTCATCCCTTTGTCCAGGCCATCCACGCTGTCTGCGCTCCCCGACCGTTAGTCATTTAGTAGCTGTCTTGGTTACCAGGTCGACTAACCAGTGTCACAGTGCATGTTCGAGTAACCCTTATTTTACTTAATAATCTCCCCAAAGCACAAGAGTAGTGATGCTGGCATATTGTTACAATTGTTCTGTTTTATTATTATTAGTTGTTAATCTCCTATTGTGCCTAATCTACAAATTAAACTTGATCATAGGTATGTATAGGAAAAAAATAGTAAATATAGGGTTTGGTGCTAATTGTGGTTTTAGGCACCTGCTGGGGGTCTTAAAAATGTATCCTCCTCGGATAAGGGGGGACCACTGTACTTTTTTTTTTTTTTTTTTTTTGAGACAGAGTCTCGCTTTGTTGCCCAGGCTAGAGTGAGTGCCGTGGTGTCAGCCTAGCTCACAGCAACTTCAAACTCCTGGGCTCAAGCGATCCTCCTCTCCTGCCTCAGCCTCCCCAGTAGCTGGGACTACAGGCATGCGCCACCATGCCTGGCTAATTTTTTTTATATATATTAGTTGGCCAATTAATTTCTTTCTATTTATAGTAGAGACGGGGTCTCGCTCTTCCTCAGGCTGGTTTTGAACTCCTGACCTCGAGCAATCCGCCCGCCTCAGCCTCCCAGAGTGCTAGGATTACAGGCGTGAGCCACCGTGGCCAGCCCGGCTGGCTTTTTAAAGTCTGTTAGGAGAATAGTTTGGATCATGCAGCCCCTCAGAGTTCCCCCTACTACACTTTGAGAACCACTCTTTTACAAACTCTCTGTCACCTCTAAACAAATGTATAGTAATTTTATATCATCAGCCTGGGTTCAAATTCCTCCAGTTGCCCCAGAAATAATTTTTACAGCTGATTTTAGGAATCAAGACCCAATCAGGGTTCATACATAGGTATTTGGTTGTTAGGTCTATTTAGTTGTGTGTGTGTGTTTTTTCCTTTTCCTTTTCTTGTATTTTGCTTTTTATTTTAAATTAATTAAATTTTTAACTCTCTTTCGATCTAGAATAGTTTCATTTCCTTTTTGTCCCATGACATTGGCTTTTGAAGCTTCCTAGCCTGCTGTCTTGTAAAATGTCCCGAGTTCTGGATGTGTCTGAGTATTTCCTCAGGGGGTGTCCTTTAGCTTGTTCTGCTAAAACTTCTCTTTCCTATAGACTGAAGTAGATTGTAGATATTTTTGTATTAGTTAGTAATAATAATTTAATAATAAGTAACACACATTGAATATTTACTTCTCACCAGGCATTATACTAAACTCTGTGAATGAATTCTGTCAATGTTTATCTTGAAGGATTTTCAGAATCAAATATCACCCCCTCCCTCCTCCTTTTTTTTGAGACAAAGTCTCACTCTGTTGCCCAGGCTAGAGTGAGTGCCGTGGCGTCAGCCTAGCTCACAGCAACCTCAAACTCCTGGGCTCAAGCGATCCTTCTGCCTCAGTCCCCCGAGTAGCTGGGACTACAGGCATGTGCCACCATGCCAAGCTAATTTTTTCTATATATTTTTT